AGGATTATACTTAATTGATTTGTCACTCAAGGAAAATCAGCACTTCAAGCAATTAAGTGCAGAAAAATACTTGGTAACAAAGACATAAAGATTTTTGTCCTTATCCTAGTTATGAAAAATCCATTATTCATTATCTTATTGTTTTTAAATACTGAAGTACAATTTTCCTACACAATAGCAAAATTGCTTTTGAAACAGAATAAATTGCTTGCCAGTTCAGAGGCTGTATTTTGAAGTCAGGATTACTAAACATGATGGTGCTTATGCTCATTATCTTCACTACTTGGTGAAGTTCCATACTTAAAAGTGCAAACCCAGATACTGATTGGGGGGGGTGGGGTGGGAGGGAGTTGTTTATAATATAATGACAAAAAAGCCCTTAAAGGACATCAATATACTCTGCAAGTTTTACCAGATTAACAAGAGTAGATTTAAATACTATCCGTGTCTGTGAATGTGTTTGTCAGCCAAGTCTCTCTCCTGTAGTTGTCTTGCATTAGCATGCTCTTTCAAGACAGACTTTAACCATGTTTGCCGTGTTACCTTTGTTTATAAAGAATATTATTTTCTGAATCAGATACTTGTTAACTTTGTACAGAACTAAAAGGCATCCATTACTTTGCAATATCTTGCTTTATACTCCAATACAACTAGCAGATTGTGATTTCACTGGATGGTGTTACAAATATACCGTTAATTGTTTGACTGTCTAAAAGCAGAACACAATGCAATGGAAATCTCTGTATTAGAACTGTGATAATGTGATTTGCAAATTTAACCAGGAGAGATTATAAAAGCATTGAATGTGAATCTGTTTAAACATAGGCCTGTCTTACTGGAAGTCTTAGCATAAAGTAATGTCTTATGTTTTTTCTAAGCAATGGGTTTATTGTCTAGTTTTAAAATTGGTCTAGTCTGAAAGTAATCCATATAATTTATTATAATATACGTGTTAACCTGTAATAACTTACCTGTTTTGTGAAGAAAATTTTTTGTATAGTGCTTTTTTTCCTAATGACCATTGATAGTAATGGGAATAGAAAACATTGCCATATAAACAGGTGCAGCTTTTGCAAACAATATTGTTGGGGAAGATCAACCATGTTTTTCATGGTGGTTTTTTTTGACTTTTTTTTTTTTTTTCAATGGGTGATGGTGGTAATAATTCTGAAAGCATTTTCCATGCCATATTTTAACATAACTAACTTTCTGGGAACTCAAAACTTTTAATGAATGTATGCAGTTTTCTTAGTTTGAAATTTTTGTCGTGTTTTCTGCAGTGTGGTTGTGCTTTTGCATCATTTGAAACAGATGAAGATTTTTCTTCACAAGCTTTGATATGCCTAAGGTTCCAGTGCTCAGTTGACTTGCAGCTGGGACAATCAGGGTGTGTGTATTTATCATTGTTCTTAGTTATGCATTATTTTATAATCTGGTCTGAACACATTGTTAACATTGCTTAATGATGTCCCATACCAAATGATTCAAAGGAGGTGCAGAAATGAGGACATCACATGCCAGCCAAATGAGGAAGTGTCTGGCTAGTGAGTGGTGAGCCAGTAGTGGATTTGTTGGTTTTAATTTGTTTTGATTTGGTTTTGGTTTTTTTCTTCTCCTTCCTTATTAGGTCTTCCTTCTTAGCTGTGTTGATACCAATTTATTACTTAGTCAATGTAAATCTGGGGAAAAGGAAATGGTTTCAGATTTTTCGATTAAGTATACAGGAAGTTGAGAAAATGCAAATCCAATAATGGTGCTTTTTCATGCTGTCCTGGGTTTGGCTGGGATAGAGTTATTTTTCTTCCTAGTAGCTGGTACAGTGCTGTGTTTTGGCTTTAGTCTGAGAACAATGCTGATAACACACCAATGGTTTAGTTGTTGCTCAATAGCACTAACCCTGATCAAGGGCTTTTCAGTCTCTCATGTTCTGTCAGCGAGGAGAGACACAAGAAGCTGGGAGAGAGCAGAGCCAGGGCTCCTGACGCAAACTAGCCAAAAGAGTATTCCATACCACAGCATGTCATGCCCAGTATATAAACTGGGGTGGTGGGTCACCTGGCAGGGACTGATCGCTGCTCCAGTCAGGGAGGGTATTGGTCAGCAGGCGGTGAGCAATTGTGTTGTGCATCACTGCTGCTTATTGGGTTGCCCTTTTTCCTTTTTTTTTTTTCTTTCCCCTTTTAGTTTTATATTCTTTCCCCTTGTTACTTCCCTTATTATTACCAGTATTATATTGTACTTCAGTTAACTAAACTGTTCTTATCTCAGCCTGCAGGTTTTATATTTTTTGATTCTCCTCCCCATCCTGCCTGGGGGAGGAAGGGAAGAAGAGGTGTGGGGGGTGAGCGAGTGGCTGTGTGGTACTGAGTTACTGAATGGTAACCATAACACATGCTTAGTCCTGGGGTTTATAATGTTACTTTCTTTTTAAAAATACTGGGTTTGTATATCAAGACTTTTGGACTGAATATTGTTCAGTGTGCTGTCCTATGTCAGCAGAACTCTCCCCTGCTCAAGCAGCGCTGCTTGGAGCTGGTTGCCCAGGATCATGTCCACATAGCTTTTAAACATTTCCAAGGATGGAGATGCCACAACCTCCCTGGACAACCATTGCCTGTCCTCAGTCATCCTCATAGGTGGAAAAAAGTTTCTTGTTTTTCAGATGGCACCTCCTGTGTTTCAGTTTGTGCCTATTGCCTCTCATCCTGTGACTAGGTACAACTGAAAAGAGCCTGTGTTGGTCTTCTGCAACTTCCCTTCAGGTATTTATAGTTGTTAATAAGATCCTGCCCATGTCTTGTCTTCTCCAGGCTCAACAGTCTTAGCTCTCTCAGTCTTTCCTCATAGGAGAGGTGCTGCAGCCCCTTAATCACTTTCATGGCCCTTCATTGGACTCACTCCAGTATGTCCATGTTTCTCTTGTACTGGAGCCCAGAACTGGACACAAGAATCTAATGTGTGGCCTCACCAGTGCTAACTGGAGGGGAAGGATCTCTGGTGACCTCCTAGCAATACTTTGCCTAATGCAGCCCAGGATACCAGTAGCTTTCTTTGCAGCAAGGACAGAATACTGACTTGTGTTCAGCCTGGTCCACTGGGATCCCCCAAGTCCTTTCCTGTCAAGCTTCTTTCCAGCTGGGTGAGCCCCAGCATATCGTGGTGTGTGGAATTGTTACTTATCAGGTGCGGGACTTTGCACTTCTGTTGCTGATATTCCTGGGATTCATGTCAATCTATTTCTCCAGCCTGTCAAGTTTTCAGATGGAAGGATGTCCATCTGGCTTGCCAGACTCTTCTCACAGTTCTGTGTCATCAGCAGACTTACTGAGGGTACACTCTGCCTCATCATCCAGATCACTAACGAAGATTTTAAATGGGACTGGTCCCGTTATGGACCCCTGGGGCACACTGCTGCTTTGTGCCACTGATGGCCACCCTCTGGGCCTCAACGTTCAGCCAGTTTTCAATCCACCTCAGTGCTCGTTTAGCCCCTGCATCTACAGCCTGCCTATGAGGATTTTATAAGGTTCAGTATCAAAGTCCTTACCGAAGACCAAATAGACACTATCCACTGCTCTCCCCTCATCTACTTAGCCAGTTACTTCACAGTAGAAGTTTATCAAGTTCGTCAAGCATGACTTCACTTGATGAAGCCATGTTGACTACTCCTGATTATTTTCTTGTCCTTGGTGTTTCCAGAAATGGTTTCTAGGATGAGCTGTTTTATCACCTTCCCAGGATAATGGTGAGGCTAACAGGCCTCTAGTTCCCTGGGTCCTCTTGTCTTGCCTTTTTTGAGGATAGGAGTAGCATTTGCTTTCCTCCAGTCTTCAGTTGCTTCTTCCACTTGCCATGATTGATCAAAGATTATCAAAAATGGTCTTGCAGTGACACATGCTAGTTCCCCCAGCACTCACGGGTGCATCCACTCAGGGCCAGTAGGCTTGTGTATATCCAGTTTGCTTAGGTGTTCCCTGACCTTACCCTCCTCTTCCGTGCTCCAGCCTTTCCCCCTACTTTCTGAGGTCTGCATTTCCTGAAGGCCAGTCTTGTGAGTAAAGCCTGAGGCAGAAAGGGCATTCACCATGTCTTGTGTAACCAGGTCTCCCGTCTCACTCAGCAATTTCCCGTCATCTTTTTGTTGTCTATGTTTTTATTATAGACTTCTTGCCTTTGAAACTCCTGACCAGATTCAAGTCCACTTGGGCTATAGATTTCCTAGCTTTGTCCCTGGATAGTTGGACAGTGGTTTTGTATTCCTCCTAGGCTACCTGTCCATACTTCTACCCTCTGTGCATTTATGTGCACTTAGGGAAATTTTCTTATAGAATATTTCAGTGTTTTGTCTTGGCATAAAAAGCATTCCAGAAATATCAAATAGAGGTGACGAGTAGTTTCTGGAGAGGAAAGGACAATTGTTAGCTTAGTGTTGTTTCCATAGGTCCCACAGACAAGTCTGTTTTGAACTGGTGAATGTTTTTGTGTAGAATTATAAAACTCTAATGTTTTAGTAATTAGAACTAAGATGCTGATGAGTTGTGTAGAAAGTGTTACTGGGGTCTACGTGTACAGGAGCAGACATCAGGAAAGCAAGTTGAAGAAGCTCAGTGGAAATCTAAAGTCTGTACTTCCATGAAAAGTCAGTCACTTGCATCTGCTGTAGACTTTGCCAAGTGAATTCTGTTTAAGAAAATCTTACAAAGATTGAAGTGGCAGCTCTGTATGTACAAATTATATAAGAAATAAGAATTTCCCTGGAATGATTTATACTGTGATTGACAATGATTGATTGCAGGCCTTTTTGCTGTGTGACACATTTTTAACTCAAATTAGAATTTTTTGTTAATGTGTGAGCACAAATACATGAGCTGTTTGGATGAAAATACCTCTCTGAAAAAATTCTATATGGCAAAAATTAACTTGTTACTTCAGAAGATTCCCAGAAATAAAAGTGATGTATTGGCTATTTATTTAGCTTTATTATTTCATTTTGCCAGGTACCAAGTGGAAGATGAGTCGTCTCATTTGGATGAAATGCCACTAATGATGTCAGAAGAAGGCTTTGAAAATGATGAGAGTGATTACCATACTCTACCAAGAGCCAGAATTTCACAGAGAAGAAGAGGCTTAGAATGGTTTATCTGTGGTGGCTGGAAGTTCCTTTGCACTAGGTTTGTTGCATACCAGTACTCTTTATAAAACAAATTGAGTAAATAATGGCTGTGTAACATGTACAAGAGTATACAAAACACAGTTATGTGCTTGTCATGCATCTTTTGATTGCTTTGCCTGCATTTTCCCTATGAGGACATTACCAGCTGTTAATAAAAAAGTTCTGAAGAACTACTGCTGTGTACTTACCCTGTATGCTTTGCTGACTTGCAAGAAAAAGGGAGGCTTTTAAGAGAGATCATGTACTAAACTTGTAGTAGTCGGGTCCACAATACAGCACATAAACCCGGTCCTCCCTCCTACTCAAAACCATACCAGGGTAAAGAGCTTAAAACTTTCTTTTACTTTTGAGGGCATTAGTGTGAGGGCACTCCATAAGTTGACGGGATTTAAATTTTATTGATGTGCTGAAAAGAAAAAGCTAATTCATTAACTAATAGTTAGTAAGTTAATTGACTAACAGTTAACATTTCAACTTTAAAAGGTTGAAGAATACATGTAACTGGTGGCCTTGGAGTTAATCTCAGCTGGAATTAGCTCTTGGAATTTGGTTCTTAGAAATTTATTTTTTTTTTTGTGCTTAACTGCTGTACCCAGTTGCCTTCAAATAGTAACTTTCTAATGAATTGCTAGGAAATCTCTAAATACAGGAATTACTATTAGGATGATTTAAGAATCATGCATTTTTTTATCTTGAATAATAAAATCTGAGATCAGTTGAGTGTTCTCAGTGAGCTTAAATGGTGAACACTTATTTTGACAGTTGACTCTTAGAATTAAAGTCTTCACAGGTGGTTTTCATGGCACTTAATAAATCCAAGAAGCCTGATACTGTTGTTTTTACCTAAGCAAAGCTGTATTTGTGCACCTTTAGTTTCAAAATAATTTTGTTATAAAGCTTTACTATTGCAGAAAAATACACTCAGTATTGATTTCTTTTTTCTATAATGATTTAACAAAAGCTCGTGGATTATTCATTTTATTATAGGGAAAAAGTGTTTGGAAAGCAAATGGAGGAAGGTAGCAAAGTTTACAGAAGCATTGCTTTGTATGTAAATGATTCTTGGAAGCAGTGTTTGTGTTACAGAGCTACCATTGTAGTATTTAAAAAAAAAAAAAAAACCAAAAAAAAACTAAACACCACCACATTTTTTTTTTAATTATTTAAAGAGGCTGTCAGTCTTTTTGACATATCTTAAAATTGAGATCCCTTTCAGGCAAGATACTTTAGTGAGTTCAGTTCTGTAAGTATTACTGAATATTAGTTACTGTGAGTATGTTCCTTTAAGTTTCATGAAAATAGGCAGAACAGTAAATACTGCACCCTGTATTTGCCCTGACAAGAGAATTTACAGTGTTTGGATAGAGGCAAGCAGTTGCAAGATGAGTTTATGCTGGAACTAATTAACAATAGTAAGAGAATGTCACAAAGTGTCATTAATGTTGAGGATTGCAAAATTGCATGTTCCTTCTGGCTTTTAAAAATTGATAGGTACATCTCAGCTTTAAATGCAGCTCAGGCCTAGAAAGTTTTAAACTTACTAGATTCTATTAATTAAAGTACTTGAGCCATATTTGTGATTTTTGAGATTCAGAAGAGCAAGGAAATTGCATTATGGATTCATTATTTTGCTGTGTCTTATACATATTTTACTGCTAATATAGGTGGGTAAAAGAGAAGCCCGCACTAAGAAAGAGACCTCGGAGGAACAGCTTCTGCTTTGCTAATTTCTTCAACTGAATTTGGGTACAATAGAGAGTCCATTCAATCTTGTATTTATACCTAGGGACATTTTAGTGACATTAATGTTTTCTGTATCAGAAGATCATAGCAGATAATTTTCAATTTTAATGGAAAAAAAATATTTAAAAAAGGGGGGGGGGAGGAGGGAGGTGATGACCAGATTCTAGTAGAAGCTTGAGATTTCAGTAAGATACTAGTAGGCAAAGGATACTCCCACAGATACTCGCACAAAGGATACTCCCACCTGGAAGGGTGCAGACATCTGCTTAGAAAATTAGCTGCAAGAAAGGTGAATCCCATGGTATCTTATCTACCTGGACTAGATCAATAGGTAAAAAGCTCAGCTTTGGTGAGCAATTCTGAGTGAGTATGTAAATACCATTGTGGTGATAGGGAGATCTTCTATGGGCTGAGAGCACCACTGAGGCTTTGTTTCTGATAAAAGTCTGGTATGTGCAGTCAGTGTTAAGTTACTCTTTTTGATGGTTTCTCATTATAATGAAACTTTATGAATTCTTGCTGGGGCCTGCAGAATACTAGAGTTTTGGAAATGCCTATATGCAGTTCTTAAAGTTGCCTGTGGTCATGAAAAAGATCATAAGGAGACCTGGAGGCTACTGTGTTGTCATACATGCAGTTATTCTGCTGTGTAGTAGAACAGGTTCCACTGGTTTTTGGTAGTGTAAGTATCAATTTGGGATCAAATTGATGTCTTCACACTTGGAGAGGAACATGTGGGAAAACAATTTTCATGTATGTTGATAGTGTTATGCAAACAGCTGAAAGTTATTTCCAGAAAGAAAATTGCATTCTTTTAAGTGCAATACAAGATTAAATACAGCATAGCAGTCTGAAACCTGCTCAGTTGAACAGAATTTAAGATTTCTCCCAGATCTTATGGAAATTAGTCTCTCACACCTTAGACTGGGTGAGGCTGAAATGTCAACTTCTGCACCCAGGATTTCCTTTTGTGCTTTAAACTAAATTGTAAATTTTTCAAAGCTGTGACAGAAAAATGAACACAATGAAAGAGTAGGCGTTTGTCTGGAGCTGAACTCAGAGGGGCCCTGATTTCTTTTGGGTTCTCAGTGAAAGTCTTGTGTTTGTGTTCAAAATCACTTTTTTTGTTGCATACAAGTAACAATCCCTCCCCACTATTTTTTAGTGAGGGTGAAAGGGGATTGGTGTTTCTTTTGGGGTGTTTTTTTTTTTTTTCCTTTTTTTTTGTGTGTGTGTGGTTTTTGTTTTGTTTGTTTGTTTGGTCTGTCTTGCACTTAGGATTAATATTATTTTTGTGAGAGGAAGTTTTCCATCTCTTACTTTGCAGCTTTAGAATTTTAAAGAGTTCTATTGCTGTATCACACACTGTTACTGTGTAGTTGCAAAAGTTTCACCCTTTTGGCAGAAGCAAATACGGAAGGTTCGACAATTCACTGTATGTTAAAACTGATTTTGTAAAAATTCTTCAGCTTTAAACTGAAATAGACTGAGTAGTGTGAACTGTATTTGCAAATCTGCAGCTCTTTAAACAGTTTTCACATTTGCAAGAAAAAAATCATAATTAAATCAAATGTTGTCTTTGATTTTGAACAAACTGAAAGCTTAATTCAACCAATATAACTTTTAACTTCAGAAACTGCTTATTTCTTGCTTTCATAGCACAGTTAAAAGAAAACTTTTTGATATAGCAGCTGTTTTGTGGCTGTAATCATTTCCCCTTTAACTTACAAATTCTCTTCAAGCTTGTGAAATTATAATGCACATAGATCAATACTCTGGAGTTCTTTGGGCTGGATTGATTTCTTTCTCATGAGATTTACATTCCACTTGTTATCAAAAAACACTTTGTCCCTATGAAAATGGTGCCATTGAATGGCATTTCCATATGAAGTGAAGGGGATATCAAATGCTCGGATTAATTTGGGCTCTAAGATGGCCTGTACGCTTTCAATTAATCTGTAACGCATTTGTTATGCAGAAGCATGGGAAAATGCTGATCTTTTAAGAATGACATGACCACTGTGTTGCTTTTGGCCTGATTACTGAAGCTACCTGTTGAGTACAATAATTACAGTATGTTTTCTTTGCAGAACTAGTTTCTGCTACTTAAAACCTAATAAGGAAAAGCTGACCCTTGCAGACAATATAGAGCTTTTATATTATCTTTCCATTCTGATGAAAATGGTGTTTTGTGAAAGGTACTGGCAGTTAAGCTTGTAGGATAAAAGTAATGAAAAGAGAAAATTAAAAAAACCTTTATTATTAGAGCAGCAGAGTCAGTTGAGACTTTTACTTTAGCTTTTGACTTGGAAAGATACCCCCTATTTATGAAAAAGTTAAGGGTTCTTATTTAACAATTACTTTTTTTTTTTTTTTTTTTTTAAATATCGGTTACTAACACAAAGACTGTGGTTACTGTTCTTTAAAATTAAAAAAGTACATTAGGAAGCAGGTAATGCAGGAATGGTAAAAAGCCATTTAATACATATGTCTTAAACATCTTTAGTTATTTCATTTCTTAATATAGGCAATCTGTTCTGTTTGTGTAGGCAATATGGCTTATGGCATGCTTTCTGTGCATGTGTTGAATTTTCTAGGCAAGGCCATTTGAAATGCTTGAATCGGTAAACAAGACTGGGGTTTTTTGTTTTGGGTTTGTTGGTTGTAGGAGTTTTTGGTGGTTTGTTGTTTTGGGGTTTTTTTTGTGTGTGTGGGTTGTTTTTTTTTTTTGGTTTGGTTTGTTTTTTTTTTTTTTTTAAATCCATAGCAGAAGGTGTGATTTTTACATTAAATATTTCAGGAAAATCCAAAGTGTGCCATCTTACATTAGTTTTTAGGACATTTGCAGCTTGGAGAGTGCTATTCTGATTTATCTCTCAATGTTTGTTTCACACAAATTTAGTGGGTACAAAAAAGCCTTTGCACAAAAATAGTTGCTGTATTGAGGAATGTTAATTTGAGAACAGATGAAGTATGTGTTGTGTGTTGATAATGAATTTCAAAAATACCAGGTAGATACATTATCATTGTTCTTAAAAATCTGAATTAATGTAGATTGATCAGGATTTCTAAGACCAGCATCTCCACTACAAATAAGTTTCAGTGATTACTGCTGAGACTTTAAACGACAGAATCTAACTGATTTTTATACTTTAAAGGCAGTAAAACTCTTAAGAACCATTACAATACTGATTTGGGCATAATCTGTGACATTTCTATCATCTGGGATTTTCTTGAGTGTTGTTAGCTCTGTGTCGGTGCAATCCCTTTTATCAAAGGTATTACTGTTGTTTCCCAGTCAGGCATCATTCTTGCGTCTGTACTACTTGGCATTTGCTAAACTAATGGTCATTGTGTCATCTGTTTCAGCTTCTCTGTTTATCTGTAGTGGAAAAAGTAGTTTCAAAGGGGAAACTCTGTGGCAAGGAAGGCGATATAATTCAGTTGATTTAGTCAGATGTTTAATTTTAGCAATAGAAAAGTCCTTGGTGTCTGAAGAAATTATTCTACAGAAGAGGCTAGTCAAATGTTCAGCCTGTTTACAGTTTAAATTCAAAAACTGATTTAAGCAATGCAAGATTTCAAAGGCTGTCAGGAAATTTCTGTCTATGGGCTTGGAGACAGAAGCTATCATGCTTGTTCACTTTCCCAAGGAAAATATTATGTTCCTTGGAACTTTTTTTCTAAGTTTTTGTCTTGACACTTCTCACTATACAACTAAGCTGTCTCTTCCGTTTGTACTGTCCTTCCTGCACCCCTGCCCTGGAAACTAGTACATTTAAAACTTTAATTTTGTGAGCAGTTTTATCAAGTGTAAATCCAAGCAGGTGCCGAATGGAATTGTTCCACCTTCTCCTGCAAGCACGTAGTCTGCCTTTTTTCAACTATTTTTGCAGTCTTACAGATTTTAAAGATTGGGGTACATGGAACTGAAAATAGTCCCCCTTTTTATTCTGCATAAGTTTACAGCAGGATCAATTTGTGAGCCCAGTTTACCCATGCAGTTGCATGAGTAGTTGTGGCAGCACAAGAGAAGGGGCAAGAATCTACAACTTTATTATGGGAGGGGGATGGTACTAGCCATTTCAGCAGCAGCAGGATAGGTTCACAGACATTAAACTGATCGTGGAACCATGGCATGCAAAGACTTCTGTTCACTTTGCTTTAAAGACAAATTTAAGTAATAGTCAAGGTAACTTGATTTTTCAGACCTGTCTGTTGCTAAATAACAGGGCTGAATTTTGAATGTCAAGCTAACACTGTTACAATTTTTGCAATAGAATAATTCTTTATCGCTATTAAGAAGAGGCAAAGTTGCTGAATGGGCTTATATTCATAAGAAAAATAAAATGCATGTTTACATGGAATCATACCAAATCGATGTCCATTTCATAGTGAGAGCTTTAGGGAGGGAATCTTAAGAATCCAGCATTTCAAATGAAGTGTTTTTAAATGTCAGCTTGTGAATATTGGTGTAGTGGCATTTCCATAACAAAGTGAATGCTTCTGTGAGTGATTTTACTATTGCATAACTTCTAGTTTTCTTTAGAAGTGCCTGCAACTTTGAATTCCATTTGTTCTTTGGCGAAATTAGTTCTTAATAGGCCTGAGATAATGTAGACTACAGACAAGAACATTTGAAGTAGGGCTGTGGCAATGTAAGCAATCAGTCTTTCTTCCCTGCATATTTGTGTGTACCATAATTTTGTAGTTGTGGAAGAACAGAACAGGAAAGCACCTGAAGAGGTCGTCCAGTCGATTCCTTGCCTGCAAAGGATAAATTACACCCATCGCTTATGTCTGATCTAACCATATCTTAGAGACCTGCAGTAGTAGCGATTCCAGCCCTCCCTAGGTGTTTCTTTCCACCCTAGTTTCTGGAGCATTTATTTAATGTCTGTGTCCTGTCCCATCCTCCCCTGCTCCCCCCCCCAGCTTTATTTGCCGCAGGTGAAGTCCATCATTACTTAATCATGGTGGACCTAGAGAGTAATTGTCTCTTTCCTCTTTGCAGGTGTTACGTACTTGAAACTGCATTAGGTCCATGCCCAGCCTTCTGTGAACATCTCTATTTTGGTGTATCTAGTAGACAAGCCCGCCCTGTGCTCTCTACCTGTAATTGTTGTTGCTCTTGTGTGTGGTCTTTGTTTTCCCGATAGGCTTGTTTGTTGAAATATGGTATTCAAATGGTATTTGTAAGCCGAGATCTTGCTAGCACTGGATTGAGGAAAACTAATACATTCATGGCTTGCTAGCAGTATACCTGTCTGCGCTGACCAGGTACAAGCCTTTTTTTTCATATGTTTATCATTCTTATGCAGTAACTGAGTCCTCCTTTTCTGAGCTGCCTCTACTAACTTCTTCAGTTCTGTTTTTGCATAGTTGATTATTTCTAAGTGGCCTATGTTGCACTTCTGCCTGTTGAACTACATTCTCTTTCTTCCAGGTAGTTTTTCCAATCTGTCAAGACAGCTTTGAATTCTCATCTCTTCTTTGCATGTGCTCCTGTCTATTCTAGATTTTGTTGTCTGAAAAATTAAATACTCGATAATCAGTTACATGTGAAGATCTGGATAAAGCTTTGCAGAACTTCACTGGAGTTATTTTGGGTTTATAACAAGCTACTCTGCATTTATGATTTTTCCAACTGCGTCAGTTACAACATTCTGTTACTTTAGTTCTGTTATGAGAGATATTTTGAGAGAGGAGTTTTATTAGAGACTCAGAATCATAGAATGATTTATGTTGGAAGGGACCTTTAAAAATTATCCAGTTCAACTGCCCCAGCCATGTGCAGGAACATCATTAGAGCAGTGTACTCAAAGTTCCTGTAGTCAAGAGAGGACAGATACTCTCAAGGAGTAGTGCATCTGGTTCTTCTTAGAGGGAAGTTATTTCAGTTTTAGAGGTTGCTCTTTACATGTCAATGCTGGTTATGATTTTCTGTTTTCTTTCAGTTGTGTACAAATACATACAAATAGGTTAACTATAGAGAATTCATCCGGGAAACAATGCTGAGGTGGCTGTATCGAAATTTTCCTCTTCTCAGCAAAATGCTTTCTCTTGTTTTACATACAATTTAGAAGAGCTGCTTAATTGTTTCTTTTTTATTTCTGCATCAAAAATGTTGTCAGTATATTAAAAAACCTCGTTAGAAAATGTGTGTCACTTTCCTTCACCTTCAACTTCACCTGCTGATGTAGCTGAAATCCACTGTGACCAGCTAGGTCTGTGCTTTGGCTGCAGTAGGTGCTCACTGAAGGCGGCCTGTCTGCTTAGTCTTCCTCATTCACCTGTCTAAAACAGACTCCCAACATGGCTAAGGCACCTTGTCCCAGTATTAAGAAATGCAGAGAAATTCTTTTAACATATAGGGTTGTAAACCAAGTGTATGGCAAACCCTCTTTTCTTCCCAAACCATCTGTTCTCATCTGCATTAACAGTCCACCCCTGCGGATAGTCCTAGCAATTCTTAGGCTGATTATGTTGCATGAGTTGAGTCACATCCATGTTTGTTTCTTGTTTTACTCTTGCTAGTAAATAGTCTGCTGAGCCTCAGTAGCATTCTGTTTGCTAGCCTTTTGTTCCATCTAGTCATCTCATCATTCCTGTGTCCTTGTCCAAATTGCAGTTGTTTGGAGACGGCTGCGACCTCTTCTGTCTATCTCATTGCTCATAGTTTAAACCCTCGTTGGTAGATTTGTAAGCTGGTTAGGCAAGGATGTGCTTTCTTTCTCCTATGAGCTGAAGTTCACCATTGCAGGTTGTTGTGTGATCTGCATTTACATAGGTTTGAGTTGGGATTTTTTTTTTTTTGTCTGAAAACGTTTGATAGTGTGGCATTAGGCATGCTTCCCTGTTACGTCTGCTACACAGGCAGTCTTACAGAGAAAACTAGGATTTACAAATTATGTGATAATGGTATACAAAGCTGTTGAAATGTTTGTAATTTTGTTTAACAGAAGCCTTATTTCCTCTTCAGTCATAAGCATAATTTGAGTATCAGTTACACAAAATAAAGAGTATAGCCAAAGGACTGTAAGGTACAAGGGATGAGTTAATTATTTAACTGTAGGAGAATTTAGTCACTGCTAATGCCGACTTGCATTAAGTAGAATTTTTTGAACCTGCATCAGGGCAAGGTGTAGTAAAACTTGTAATTATTTTATTAGGAATTCCTGTAAGGATGTGCAAGTGTTTATGTATGTGTATGTCTGAATGAGTTGAGTACTATGTAATTGCCGTAAATATTACAAGTTGACCTCATGCTTGCTTATTTAGATATGGTCAAAATTTTTAAGCCTGTTTTTCTTAGGTATTTGCCTTTAGGGTTCCCGGTTTGGAAACAGTTATTACATATACTAAATTTTTAGTTTTAAAGTAAACAATTGTTTTTCTTTTCAGCTGTTCTGATTGGCTCATAAACATTTGCCGAAGAAAGAAAGAGCTGAAGGCTCGCACAGTGTGGCTTGGGTGTCCTGAAAAGTGTGAAGAAAAATACCCCAAAAATGCCATAAAAAATCAAAAATACAACGTCTTTACCTTTATACCTGGGGTAAGGCTACTAACCATTTTTTGGCGTTGGGCTGACTATGTGTTCTGTACTGAATTTTTTGACAGTTCTGCAAAAAGATGGTTTTATTTGCCTGGATTATTCTTTTTCTTTTAAAATTTACTTTGATGTCTTCAATTAAAATTGACAGTTGAGAGCAAGGCTTGTATTTTACTAAATTGTTTTATTTTCAAAGGGATATCTACTAAAGTGCTGTAAGTATGAATGGTTGGAATTTAGTGAAGCTTTAGAAATTTAAGATGGGTTTCCTTGTGCTTTTCTATTCATGATTTGTAATCCTCTTTTTAAAACAGAAGCATTATACACAGTCAGTTGTGAAAATACTATAAAGCATTCTGAAAGAAATAAATAGTTGGAAATTGCAATGTATTCCCATAGATATTTTCTCATAGTCCCTGGCATTGAAAGCATAATAAATATTCTAAAGCAGGCAACTCCTTAAAAGACAAAACCAATCCACCTTTTCAATTTATATGACAAGTAAGACCTAGTGTACTAAGCTAGTACTTTTTAGAATTATATTTTTTACTGCAGCTTTAAAAATAATGATTTCTTTTTCGTTTTGAAGCTTCAGTAGTTAAAACCTAAAAATGTATGCTGCTATGGTATAATGAATTTTACTAAAATGCTTTTATTCCTATTTTTACTGATACTGTCCAAGAGTCCTCTGTCCTGTTGCAAAAACTGGATGTCTTCTAGATTTGAATACAGACATGTTTTGTCTTAAATTTTTTATTTAAGTGATCATGCAGATTTGTAAGAGTATTGATTCTATGCTTCTGCCCTCTTTGGTCCAATGACTGGCAGGTGCTTTCTAATACATTTCTTTTATCGAGACAAAATAAAAATTAATGGCTTTGTAATTAAGACTGATCTTCTGTCAGAGAAATAAAATGTCACTTTTGCAGGCGGATAAAATATTCTCATCTCTATTGAACAAAGTAAATGTTTTCTTCCAAAGTTTAAATTATTAAATACACTGAAATTGGTTAAGCCACATATGCTTTCCTAAAGGTCACAAAATTCATTAAGCATATAGTAAGCCATTGATTATTGTGACTGGAAATCTGCAGTGTAGATTACAAATCCTAAACTAGATTCATGTGTCCTGTGGGGATCAGCCATAGCTTGCAAATACCTGTACCAAATTTTAATTTTAGACATAAATTAGCACTTTTCATTAGAAATACTGTGTAGTGGTTTTTTTTATGCTGTTCCACTACAAGTAATTTGTAGGGAACATCGCTGTATTCATTCCAAACCCATAGACATAACTAAGTCATAAATATTGACTCCAGTGATTTACTGTGGTTGAAATTTTCATCATGTGAAGATTTGTCTCTGTCTAAATTGTGTCTTTTCTTAACATTGCAGCTGGCAATGGATAATATTCAACAATTTCATATCAAGATACAAGTTTAAAATGATGTTTAGATTAACAGAATTGTACTTACTGGCTAAAAGAGCTGTAGCATTTCCAAAATATGATTTCCTAACATTTATGTAAACTACTTACTGCTTCTACCTTTACTCTGTTCAATTTCCATTTACTATTTCTTATACATCTTGTATAGCTGCTTAGGACTTTTGTGTAAATTTCCATAAAGAATATCTTCTGTGATGTGCTGGCTTTTAAGATCTCTCCTGAATTTCAAAGCGGTAGTCTATTTTTTTAAAAATCAGTTTTATGTAACTGTAGACTTTGTAATTAGCTTAACTAGACTGAAGTGTTTAGCTTTGTATTGAGTGAACTGTCAGTGGTCTCCCAGGATTCAAAAGTTTTGTAGAAAGGTACTTTTTAACTCCCATCTTCTGTGAGCCGGGTGCTCTTGCAGATCTGCACCTCCCAGAGTACTCCGTGGACTTTTCTTTGACCTGGTATATCAAGTCTTTGTAAACAGTTAAACATACTGCTAGAAATGAGTAGGAACTTCATTAGTATTAACATGAAGTATAGGTTCAAGCTGAATTAGTTCATTTTTGTAAGACTGTTCCCCTGCAACTTCAGGTTTTACTTTCTTGATTTTACAGTTCTGTTGGTAAATAGTGGAACAGAATCCTGTTCTTTTGAAAATATCTTCTGATTTGAGGCTGTTTAGGTAGTCTTTAGCTGAACAGTAATGTAGGACTTTTGCAAGAAACTAGCAAAAACTTGCCTGCCAAAAAGATACTTTGGAATGAACTTCCCTTAGCATTTTTTCGTAGGATATAGTTTTTACATAATTGAATAATAATGTTGGACTGATAAGAACAATAAGTATCTGTCCAATAACTTTAATTTTTGTGTAGAAGTCATTGTAATATTAACTGAATTGTAAGATTAAAAGATGGACACACTCTTTACATCTGGCTTTTTGATCTATTTTGAACCCTTTAGCTTTGAAACAATTGGTTATCCATTTTGTTAAGTCTCAGTGTTTCAAGTTCACTAGCCATTTTTCATCATCCTGATGGAGGTGCAGTGTGAATCTGGCCTGCTAAAGAAATAGGTAAAGTCTTTGAAGATTCAAAATTCTGTAAAATGAATAATGTTCTTAAAATTGAAATTGTAACTAAAGCAATGTTGAGAACATGTTTTTATTAAAGTACTGCTTTTAATTACCGAATCTCTATGTCTGTCATTCGTTTGGAGTATTGGACTGTGTTAAAGTTACTGTGTCTTCGCTTAAAACTTGGACAGTTATCTTGGAGCTCAACCAAAACCTTTGATTTTTTTATTTTTTTTTAATAAGCGTATTTTATGTGCCAATATTTGTTTCAAACTAATCTTTCGAAAAATTTAAAACTAAGCATTTCTTCTAAATTATCTCAAAATACCCATGTTATTCTGTTACAATTTTTTTGTAGTTTAAACTTTGCTTTTGTAAAAAGCTTGTCTTCCTATGGAAATTGAAAGCTACTGCGTTACTCTGAGATTTTCTTATGATAGCCATTTAGAAAGAGAGCAGTGTCGCTTACTCTTACTGGATCTTTTCTGTAGTGTTCATTTTACTTTCCTAAGCAATATTTATTCTTGAACAGTGAGTAGTTTCACTGTTTTTAGGAACGGTGGAAAGTGGTAATTCTGAAGGAGTGAGTCTGACTTTATGGTAGCTTTTATCCCTTTGAGAACCAGAGGGCTTCAGAAAGAAGGCAGATCAGTTGTAGAGCTTCCACCCCTGCAAATGGAGAAACTTCAGTGGCTGTGTTGAGGGTAGAGTGTGCTGAGGGAATGCGGTGCATGAAAGTAATGAGGAGTTCACGGTGATGCAGAGCATCATGGTGTAGCCTAGTCAGTTTTGTTACTCTCTAGAAGTGCAAATAACATAGACCAGGATAATATTTTTGTAAACAGTTTCTGTTCACTTGATGCCAATTATTTTTTTTAATTATTATTTAAGGCCAGGATATGAAACTTTTTAAGACAAAAAGACATCAATAGACAGATAAAACAAAATTTAAGTATTGATACTTAAGGAAAAAATAAGATTTAATTTTCATGCTGTATTTTCAGGAAGAAAAATTTTAATAGTTAAAAATGAAAACTTATTGTAAGCAATGAAAGTTCAGATACAAACTTATTTTGCTTTTTTATTGATAATAGAAGAAAATTTTTAAGAACTGTTTTGACTCATAAAGGTAACTGTGGTGGATATAAAATAATTGCAGGATGCATCTACAAACATCTAAATTCTGTTTACTTTTAAAATTTCAGTGTATCTTTGCACAGTGATCTTGATACATATTTGCAAAGATTGAGTGCACATAGTCCAGTTTTCAAAATCTAAAAAATTTAGCAAACTGCTTTTTCAGAGTGAAGAGGTATTAACATAAAAGAACTTTTCTCAGCCAAAATAGCAGTATAATATTAGAAATACCTTGTAGTGCATGTAGTAGTCTGATATATAGTATATTATGCTATATAGTACTGTAATAGTACCATATATGCCATGTAATGATTTTATATCTACTATCATGAAAAAGTGAATGTGTACAAATCATGTGTACAAATTTTAAGGCGTTTGTTTATTTTCTTTCTCATTTTAGGTTTTATATGAACAGTTCAAGTTTTTCTTGAATCTTTATTTTCTCGTCGTGTCCTGCTCACAGTTTGTCCCAGCGTTGAAAATAGGCTACCTGTACACATACTGGGCTCCTCTGGTAAACTGAAAAATACTATTAACTAGAAGTTTTAACTTCAGATGAAAAGTCTGTATATACATACATTTCATAAATTTGCAACTGGTGAACTATAGTGACTAAAGTATGTAACAGAAGTAAAATGCTTGCTTGAAATTACAGTATTTTACAGCAGATACTCCAGAAGCTGTTGTTGATAGCCCTCCCTTCCACCTGCCCGCCACACTCCTGCTCCACAGGCTGGAGGTTGCTTTTTAACTGGCTAGTCTGAGTGTGCAGTGCTCCTTTCTGGCTGCTGGTCACTTGGGAGGTTTTAAAGAAACAAACAAAAAAAACCCATCCAGCTAATAGAGAACCATATTAAGTAACATAGGTAATTTGTGTGTTACATTTCTTTAAGTTTATTGTTACTTGCTTGCTTCTTTATGTTTTCAGGCTAGAACAGAATTGAAAGCATAAAGTTTTTGCATTCCTTCTTTATCATTTTTGATCATGTCCTTTTTTCACAAAAACTGAGATAAAATATTTAAGCCATGGATAAAGCAGGAGAAAATTGCATCTTGAAAATAAGTTATTAATTAAACATGCTTTTTCTAATTGATTGCCCCACCAGTTGCACTGTTTTCCTTTCAATATGTCTTATTATTGAGCCCTCTGCAGTATTTTCTTGGGAAACCGTTCAAACCAGTTGCTTCTGACTTAGGTTTCCTAAGGTTTGAAAATTGTATTCTTTTCGGAAGAAGCCCTTTTGGTAGTCTGCTAGCTATATTCCCATGATTTGGAATTCTTTTCTTATGTGAAAACTGTATTCTTTTCGGAAGAGGCCCTTTTCGTAGTCTGCCAGCTATATTCCCATGATTTGGAATTCTTTTCTTATTTGTAACCAGATCTTTACCTTCTCTTTCATCTTCTTTCTGGCCCACTCCACACCAGATTTAAAAGCAAGGCAGGAAGAACAAATGCTTTATTTTCTAAATTTATTTTAAAAAGGTATTTCCCAGTAACATTTATTCTCAGTGATATTCAAGAGGAACAGTGACATGCTGACTGCTTGAGTAAAGGTCATTCTTTAACAAGTCAATAGAGTAAATATTCTGGATTGATTTCATTGTTTTAATTGTTGCAACATGTGTCCTTTTAAGTATTGATAAATGGAGAGACTGTCCTGGAGGTTCTTCACACCTCTGTTTCCAGACAACTTTGGCTTCTGCTGCAACAAAAAAACACTTCAAAGACAGAAAGCTTGTTCAACAGTGGGATTTGAAATGGATATTTACAGAGATCTTTGTCACTGACACAGTAAGAAAAGCTGGAAGTCAGCCATGTTTGGAAGTTGGTCTCTTCACAGTCAAGTGCTGTGAACAGCTCTATACATTAGTAAGAGAAAAAATTGCTTAGCATTTCAGCCTATCTTATCCCTGCCCAAAGAAGAGAGGAAATACTGTATTTTGCAAATAATCAGTTCTGTATAGATGTGTTTATCTTACTCAAGGATATTTTGTATTATTTTTTTCGCAGTTTTCACATACAGCTTGAAAATACAACATCTCATTTAGTGCTAGTGCTTTTTCGCTAAACAACTCGCTTGTTTCCTAAATAGCTTTTATACTAATGATTAACCTTCAGATAAGAGGTTAATTGGATGTAGTGTAAGGCTCAGTACGTATGATAAAAATGTAAAACACTTAACTTGGACCCATCCGGCTGTCTTTGCTTAACAGAAAAGTTTGGTTTTCTTTGAAGAGCATCCAACTGCTGATAAATTTTCAGTAATAATCAAGGGAGTGGGTTGGTTTTGTGGTTTGTTTGGGTTGTTTTTGTTTTTTGGGGGGTGTGTGTGTTTTTTCAGTTTTGTTTTTGGTGACACAAACACATACTTGTTTTTGTTTTAATTTTTTGTTTGGTTTTGTTTGGGGATTAATTTGTGTTTGAGTTTTCTGTTGTGTTTTGTTTTTACTTCAACAGTTTTTACAACAGACATAATATGCTTAGATCTAGTGCTGGAGTTCTTCACACAAGGCCTTATTTTACTGATTTGTTGTCATTTGCACAGTAGGGAATGGACTTCTTATTTTGAGTCCAATATACGAAGAATGTAGAGCATACAAGTTTGTAAGCAGTATGCTGATGACACTTAACTGCTTACAGTTAAAGATGACAGGGGTTTTTGTAAGATCGGCTTCACGATATCAGCTTCCCTTTGGAAGAGTATCAAGTTCCTGTGAGCAAATGAGGAAAAGGGGAACGTGTTGAGTTGTTCCTCATAGTTAGTCAGCTGTACTGAGCTGCTGGGCCAGATATGGTGATGACCAGTAGGGGAAATTCTTGCAGTTAACACCTTGCATTCTGTGCTTAGATTACTGTCTAGTTAATGAGGTATGCCCGAGTTAAATGTTTTGTATTTTTATCATATCTACTGAGCCATACAGTTAATCTCTTTTATCTGGGGGTTAATCATGCGCAAATGATAGGTATGTGCTGCTGCTAAAATATCTATGCTAACAAAGCTTATGAAAATGCTGCTGCCAGAAAAGGGCAAAACCCTACTGCTTATTCAGTTATGCCCTAGGAGTGAAAACGAATGCATTTTGCAAAGGCACTTTTTTGTTCTATGTAGTTCTTACGTAAGTGTTGTAGCTAATGTAAACCTGCACAAACAGGAGGTGTTTAACTTCAAAGTTGCAAGAGTGTAAGCCTTGGAATTTTGGGCTGGAACTGTAAAACAGCCCTTGCTATTGAAAAAGAGAATTTTAGTCGGAGCTTATTAAAGAATACTCTACACCTTCACTCCTTTCTTATTCTTAGGAGGTTAGGGGAAGGTTGGCAATCTGTTGGACTTCTGTGAGAAAAGTGTAATGATACAAATTTTCTCATATAGGAGGAATGTATAGGTGGGTGTCTGAAGCTAGGTAGATATTCTAGAACCTTATCTGTTGGAGGATTTGTGAATATTTGAATTTTTTAACTATCTTTTACTTATAGTAATGATAAGATTCCTTTACTGTTGAAAATTCGACTTCCCTTTCACTGTTGGAGGAGTGACAAGTTGAGTTCAAGAAGTCAGAAAAATGTATCTGAAGAGAGGTTTAGAAAAGGAAAGGGGAAACTCTTAACGTGCTTATCCCTGAACTGTTCTGTATTTTTAGCTTACTATTTTTTGAGGCCAGAAACCATCTTAGTTGCATGTAGCACGCTCTGTTCATCCTGCAGTGGCATTGCTATGCAGAAGCTGCATATGAAAATAGCAGCCAAAGCACTTAGATACTTAGTTCTTGTGAACAAGCCCCCTTCTTCTTTGTGAATATATGTGACCTATTAGTAAATAACTACATTTAAGATGGCAACATTAATTAAAGTAGCCATCCATTTACCTTTTAATTTCTGTCTGCTAGGAAAAATGTAGTGGACTCAATATTAGAATTGGAGACTTAAATGTTTTTGGTAAAGCCCTAAAATTTGTGGAAGATAGGGAAATGTGCTTATTGAACTATAAAGGTTGTCTTTAGTTCATCCAAAGCATTTTAATTTTTTACATTTCAAATTTTTTCTAAATAATGCATCTTTCAAGACGTAGTTATTCTAACTTCTAATACAAGTTCTAGAACCTATTCTAACTGTAATTCTTCAATTCTAACAGATTGAAGAAAACACTAAAATTCAAACAAGAAAAAAAGTAAATATTCTAAGTGCATGTTCTTACTCTGTGTAGTGTTCCTACTTGTGTATTTCTATTCTAGCAATTTTGAGAACTCTGAATTGCATAATTATATCTTTAACAGGGATTTGTTTTGACGGTCACAGTGGTACGGGAAGCTGTTGATGAATTTCGACGTTACAAGAGAGACAAGGAAATGAACTCACAGTTATATAGCAAGCTGACAGTACGAGGTTAGCAAAACCATTTGTATAAGTGCTTAAATACTTCATCTTACATATACATTTACAGTCTTCCAGTTCCAAAAAATAACCAATAGTCTCAAGCTGCACTATTCAGAATGAGACTGATACTGAATTAAAGTGCCTGATTTCCCTCAGATAAATATGACTGTTAAACATGACCTGTTTATGAAGTGTTGTAAATCTTGTTGTATATAAAGGGAAGCTGTATGTACATAACTGCATGTATTTTTTAAGCATTCTGGTGTTTAGTACTATTTCTTCAAAGTGCAGTTCTCCTCTGAAATTGATACCTCACAGTAACTCAGCTACATTGTCAGCTATGTATCGAGTGTATATAGGGATCAGTAACTAAGAAATACGATCTAATTAAAATTCACTAGAGCCTTTCAAACTTGGTGGATGTATTTGTGTTTAAGAAAGGGGCAATGTATTGTAAGTCAACTTCAGTACCAAAAATATTGATTACAATTTTTGCATATAATTTGAAATCTATATGATCATGCAGCAGGAACAACCACTTTTCTTTCCGGAAATTAATAAAAGGAGAGGTCAGCTGTGCCTTTTTTTTTGGCATCAAAACCTTTAAGTTTTTCAGAAAGACTTTCAAGGAAATTAAGCACTTCAGTTGTGAAGTGACAATCAAATTTGGTAGGATATTGTAAATTTTAAATGTGGGCATATAATAAAAAGCTGTGCACCCCTCCACTTTCATGTTGGTTTGCATATTTTGCTGTTTAGATTCAGAACAGAATGCCACATAGGTTATTTGGGTTTTTTTGGCACCTTTCTTTTATCACATCTAATGAATAACCTTACAAAGCAACATGACCTTGCTATTACACTCTGAAGTTATTTTGCTACAGTATCCTAGGAAGTATATGTTAAGGGTTTTCCTTGGCATGAAAGTTCTAGAAAGTGGGAAGCTGTTAAGGAATGTGAGGTTGTCTCAAGCAGTTAGAGTGTATGACATACATTGTGCCAAGTGTAAATTCTGTTCACTAGTTCCCAACATAAATTTTAGTATATGTTGGTGAATATTTTCTGAGAGTCAGTGGGAAAAGTAACTTCACCAGGTCTTGGTTTCTTAATTGGAAACTAAATACTTGGTGTAGCTATGGATAATACTCTCTCCAGAAAAAAAATGGATTAAAAGCGTGTAATATAGCACAGGTATATTCAGTCTGAAATCTTACCCATTTTTTAAAAAGTAATTGGAAAGTAAGTAAACAGGCAACAGTCTCTTTAGTTATGATATAAGGTAGCAACTGAGAGGAATTTGTACTGCTGCTTTGCAGTATGGAGACTTGCATTGCTTTCTGGAGTTTCCATATGGAAGGGAGCAACTGTAGAGAATATTTGCCTATTGTTCTTCCCTTCCTTGTCAGCCTGAAATAGCTTTAGCAACCTTTAGACATACTACTGGAGAAGTTTGCAAGTGGGATAGCTATGATTTGTTTGACATAAGTGGTTGCGTTACTGGCCTCCAGATCTTTACAGTCTTTAATACAATCTGTAAAGAAATGGATTTTTAATGGCTTTTCTTTTAAAGTTGTAATTTAACTTGCTGGTTGGTTTATTCGTGTTTTTAGATCTGTTATGATAGGCCATTTAACACTCACCTTTGAAACAGATAGTACAATCCTACCCTGTACAGCAATAACATTAGTAATCTGAAATTCTTAGTTCTGGAAGCACATGTATAGCTTATTGTTCCTAGTGTGATGTAAATGTCAAGACTGACATTGGCTGTTTAAAGAGCTGAGTTGCTAAGTTGGATGCTTCTTGCTCTTTTTTTTTTTTTTCTTCCAGTTATTCAGAGTCAGTATTGGAGTTTCTGGTAAATTGCTAGGCATTTAAGTAGAAGTTTTGGAATCCTGATGTTTTCTTTCTCAGTTCGTGAAGTACTTTTTGAGAGTATGTGTGTTTGAGAAACTTTTTGTTTTGTAGCTTCTCCTAGAAATAAGGAAGTTGTCAAAGTTTGATTTGGTTACTTTCACACAACTGTTTTCTAGATATGGAGTAGAGATTTAAAAATAGATACACCTGTATAGCTATAAAATAGCTATACCTATATAGGTATAACTTTACCTATACAAGTAAAGCCCAGCAGTTTTATCCGGAACTGACAGGTAGAGAGCTTTAGAGATGCTCTTTTTTTTTTTTTTTTTTTTTTTTAAAAGAATGTCAGCTTTTACCAATGAATGTGTGTATTGATTTCAACTTACAGGTTTTGTTATCAGTGCCATAATGAATTAATACTTGTTTTTGTTCTGTTTTGTGGTGGGATTTCGTTTGCTCTTTTTTTTTTTTTTTTTTTTTTTTGGGGAGGGGGGTCTCTACTGGCGCACAG